TAATCCAAACAATATTAATTGGAGGGATGGAATACAATTAGTTGTACTATAGCAGCTAATCATTAATAAATAAAAACCTGAACCCCTTTCCGTTTTACCTATCTCGCATCATCTAAGTGACAACAATTACATTCAATAATTCTAATCAGTTGTCTTATCTGAATTTGTTAAACAATCAATTGGAACATTAAAAATGACACATATATTCAGTTTCAAATTGCATTCTTCCTCTTCGAATTTCACTCTTTTACTTTGTTTAATTATCTTCATTTTATACATGCTGTGACATATATGATTCATATCATATATTAAAAATCGTATGTTTTCTTAAAAATTCACCGACAAGAGACAATATATTGTATTTAGAATATTAAAGATTCCCATTGTGAAAATTAGAACAACACATGTAAGCGAACAATTGTTTTCAATTAAATCGTCATCAGGCTTTACTCTAATATACATGAATATTTGTTAGACCAATCAAGGCTATTTGAGTCCATAATCATATATTGTGAATGAAATATCTTCTCTCACCACTTACGTGCGTATACAATATGTTATCTTAACACTGATCATTTCACATCACAAATCTCTTACACACTAATACATATACCTAGTTTAGACATTTTTAACGCTGATTGGATGACCTATTCAGTGTACAATGAAACGAAGAACCATGTACCTATTTATATTCGATAATCTTGATGTTTGATTATAATTCCTTGAAAAAGCTGGGACCAGATTCCCAGGCGAAACGTTGGACTTACTTCAAATTCATTCACTGAGATTTTACAAATATATTATTCCTATTTAGTGTCTTACATCAACTCAGCGCTCAAATACTGTGAAACTATTCGTTCTAATTTAGACGAAAGTTCTTATATAGGTTGTAGCACTTGTTTAAAATTGGATGACCTAGAATACTTTCGCTTCTGTTGTGAATTCCCCAGTGCATGACACACTGATAACCGCTCATAAATACACTGCTGCACTAATACGTCTCACATTCTCAATTGTCTGTTACGGTAACTGAACTCCAAAATAAAATAGGCCACAGCTATATCTCCATTATACACTTTATCTGGATATACTGATTGGATTATAACAATCTTCATTGGGTAGGTATCATTACCAAGTTTTGATTTGATAATTTTGAATAGATTGAGCATTGGGTAGATTGCTATAAATAAATATATTTTGTCATATCCCAATGAGCAGAAAAATTAGATTTTCAGACGTTTCGTAACTCAGCGTAAGCTACTTCTTGAGAGAATGAATAACCAGATCGAAACTAATCCAAGTTTAAATAGTATAACGGAACAACACGATTATTCGTGTTGTTCGTAATACAACTGTTCATTTCGCTGCGAGTAATGCTAAACTTTGTAATCCCGAACCTAAAACGTTGAGTGTTTCTGATCATTTATCTTTATCGACGACTTTGAAAAACAGTATAGCCATATAGCAGTCCAGAGTTAAATGAAACTCAGAATTATTGTGAGACAAAAGCTTCTAATCAGCCAACTTATCTGATTTCTCATGTTGTACTATATATGGTTTGTCCTAACGATTTACACACTTCTCATGGAATTCCTTCTAAATCTGAAAGAAATATGTTGAATGAATCAAGTCTTGATCAAAAATGCGATGCAGCTTTGATAGATGCTGATTTTCCCAATGACTCATCATTCTCTAATGATATTCTCAATAAATTTGAGAATATTTCAGAAGAATCAATTCTGGATGTCACGTCTAACATTATTTATCCTCATAATGCACTTGTCTCTTGTGGTAGACTTATTCAATGCAAAGCACGAGTACCAAATGGGCTCGGTTTGGATTACAATTCGGATGGCTTCTTATCAACTGTTATTTGTCCTTACCGTGAAGTCACTTCTAATGAATATTGTAGTCAGTGTGAGAAATACGTTTTAAATGAAGCCACATTATTCATAATTTGCGGATACGAAGATCCGACACTATTTCGTGGGGTAGGATAGTACTGGAAAATCTATGGTTCGAATTTTAGATATCAGGGGTTTCACCACACAACCGACATGGTTGCATACATTTCCAGGGCCCAGGTGAGTCCGTTCCAATTTCAGTTGTTAATTTTAATACTAATCAGTATATTCTAGATCATACGGAGTCTACATCCAATACACTGTCGGACAGACACGACGAACCTAAGGAGGAGAGGTACAATTGATTGCAGAAATTTGGATTCTCATTTAACCTTGTACTTCCGAATACCAAACACAATACGTCCGTTCGTGCTAATCTAACACTTGTTGGTTAAATTGCGTTATTTCTGAGGTTCCTAGTTTGTACTATGATTTAAATACTCCTGATCATTACACATTTTCTTATTCAGCGTAATACTCACGAAACCCCTTATGCGAACTTGGAACAAAACCTTTTCATTGTGTATTTGTAGGATGGTTGATTGCTTTTAAAACGTAAGAATCGCTGTTGCTTGAGACAAGTTATTCAAAACCATATACTATCCATTAAATGGTTTATTTACATCAGCTAGGTAGTTAGTAGCTACGTATATTCCTTCAGGCACTATCTGGACGCTAAAAGACTAAACCGTCCGAATACTGACCCAACAAATGGTTGTTTACATCTAATTGTATTATTCCTTACATTTCATTGTCTTTCGGCATAGATCAGTGGATTGGTGCGCGAGACAAGTATATAGACCTTGCGTTTATACAGCAATCTCTGAACCAAATGAGCGATTTGACGACACTTGATTTTGCTTTCGAATTTTAATGACATATTGAGTAAATGGGCAGTTCGATTACGACTACATGACCAACTTGCCACACATACTTAAACAATTTTAAAAGTGAAGTTCAGCAGAGATTGTTACAATGTGTAGGGAGGACTAAGCCCAAAACAACCTCAAGTGAGACACCGTTAGAATTCAAGAAGTACTGAACAGCTGCTTCGTCCTAGCATAGGACTACTCAAGTGCCGCCTACGATCCCCTCTCCCGTGACTTGACTTCAATTTTTATGGTCTAGTCCATTCAGAATTAACTACATCTGTTGGAGACGCGTCATGTCTTACATCTCTGAATGTAATGAAATTCAAGCTAATTATTATGTACTGCGCACTATATTCCTGATTATCTTCACTAACGACTTGTATTTATACCATAGTTTTCTTACGCGAACAAACATTTTTATGTATTGAAAGATCCAAATATATTGATCTGGACACCTGTATGTAACTGAGTTTCTTTACCTGATGTTAATCACTAGATATCTTCGAGTCATATCACGTAGCCGAAAAAAATGTGTGCCACTAGATGCAAATTTAATGACTTAGTGTTCAAGGCCCCTCCAAGATACTTGTAATTCCTGGATTTGATGCCTGGGTGGATTATAGGTCTCTATTGTTAAGGAAGAAACCAGGGCAAAACAACTAATCAATCCTTTATAGTCTATAATGGTAGTACAACCTAAATCAATCTATGACGAATACCATTCAAAAATCAAATAAATTCCCAAGAACCATAAACTGGCACTAATGTAATTAAACTTGAACACAAGTTAGGAAGTAAAGCACTGATGCAATGGGAGAAAACTTAAACAGCTTAGGCAGTACTATGTCCATACAATTTACACCTCACAATAATGACTATAATGATACCGAAAACCAATCTAAACATAAATGTAGTATTATCTGGTATATTTAATGATAAAAAGTAATGTTGAGGCTTTGCAGCCTGACACAAGTCTGTGTTTGGATCCTAGCTTATTTTAACGAGGGATAAGGGAGCTACATAACTTCCTCAACCGGAGAGATTTACAAACAGAAAACTTAAGAATAAAGAATGGGGTATTTGGTTATGTGATGAAAAGAGGATACAAAGACCAATAATTTTACCTGCAAGAATGATCTATATAAACAAGATTATTAAATGCTTTGCTTATGTCTACTTCGAGTTCAAACTAGAATGAGAAAACCATGAAGAATCTCTTGTCTTCATGAATGCATTGACGTTAGTCAGTTATGATGGACAGAACCTGATACAAATCCCAGTAGGTCTACGTCCCATAACCAAGTCAGAACGGCAAAATGAAAATGAATAGCCAAAGGCCCGAAATAATGGTATTGTCACTGATAGTGTAGGGAGCTAAATACTGAAGAATGGCTTGAAAAAGGATGATAATGATAGACATAAAGTATGAGGAAACTTGGAGAGTAAATACACCTATGCAATCAAAAGTAATTCTAAGTCATGTTACATATCATCTTTGACAACTGATCGCAGTTGTCTTGATGACTTAAACAAGATAGTCTGAACTTACTAACACGGTCCGGTTTAGCAACAAATATTTTCATAATCTGATGTTATATGCTATATGTAACTAGACTACATAGATCACGGTGTCAGGAAACACCGTATCAGTGGGTACAACTCAAACTTCGTCAATTGATGCCCGTTAAGTTATGAAAAAAACTGCATTTTTACGGCATGTTATGAATAGCGGAAGAACCTTCAGTGAGTTCAGTTTCCATGGTAAAACCTTAGTGTTGTCAGATAAGAACCCCCCATTCTTTTAGAAGGCCGACAAGACTACTGGAAACAGTCGGCTAGCCAGTTAACCCATTAGTAGGTTTCCGACATTTCCATCGAACTGTAGCCAAGATTATATTGTCCAGGTTGTTGGAAAGCAGATTACAACAATAATGGGCTGAAATCTTTTTGGTTTATCCGAAAACTAAGAAACTTTGCAATGAATTATCCTTTATAAGCCGAATACGAAAACCCTGCATACATATGTATCTACCAGACTACTTTGACAGCTGGATTCATATATTGTTGAACAAACAGTCCGTGGAGCAATCAACCCAAATTTTAAGGGCAATAGTTAAAATCAGACAAAATTCTACTAGTCACAGATTAGGGATGTAGATCTACACTAACAACAAACTGTCATTTATAAATGTCATTGGAAATGAACATGGAAAGTCAATTGTCATCAGAAGTTGGAGTCTTTAAACGCGCTGTACGGTAGAGTGGCCATTGGTTCCATTTTCTTTACCTTCCTAACTTTTTCCATCATCATAGCTCTTTTTTTCTGTAAAGAGGAATTACCATAACTAAAAACCAACTTACGGCTTTATCATGATTCTGACATTCAAGCAAATCTTCCCAGTATATTTTGCAATGTTTGTCTGTATTTTGAATGCCAACTCTTGCAACACAGCTTTAAGATCTGAGAAAAGTATTTGAGATATAATTACCGGAAGAAGTCACGTTCCATAATTTGGCAAAATCTTGAATTAAAAACATTTTGCATCGTGAACCATGATGTGGTCATCTGTAAGGCAGGAACATCTATGAAGGGGCGATGGAGAAAGTTCCCTCCAGATGTGTAAGTTAAAGGGAATCCACGTCCTAGAACATTTTCACCAAAGTAACAACTAGTACTAACCACCCTCGTAAGGTTTCTCGGTTGCAAATATTTTTCTCGTGAAATTATAAAATGGCTGGAACATGTTTGGTGAAAAAGGTATATCTCTGTTCTTTTTTGCTCTGGCTTCATTATTCAGGCGATCAAGTCTTTCCTGATCTGTTATAACAAACGCCCCCTCCGCCATCAACAAGGAAAGACGGCGACGCTTCAGGGGTATCGTCCACTTATAGACGTCGCTGAGCACTTGAAGGTCAAACGTCGTCAAATGATTGGTGCGTCACCTCGATAACTCATAAATTTTTGCAGACGCGGTCATATGTCTGTACATATTTGTAACGATATTAAAAACCATTACATGCAACGTTAATAATACAAGTTTGTTTTTCTTATTGAGGGGCAACAAAGAGTAAATGCACTACGCTATCTGAACCTGCAGAACAACGGGTAAAACTATTTTGTAATAACTTTTCCTTTTGTACTCGAACCGCGTCTTTCAATTTCAAAAATATATCTGTTTCGCCAGTACACCGTGTTCTCATTTCAGAGGCACTTATCGGTCCTCATTGTTGTGTTGTTGTTTCAGGTCGCTCCTGCTCCCAAGTTAATGTCAAAATATAACGTGCTACATATGAACGTAAACGCAGTTCGTCAGAATCGGTTGCTTGTTTTCAGGGTGTAGATGATGATAGTGATCACCATTTTTCCGAAGAATATACAATTTCTAACTCACCACCACAACCTAGATAAGAAGACGGCGTCGGTCATCTATATATACGAATAAGGCATATATGCCTTATTTCGAATGATATTACCCTTCAGGTCGATATATTGCCACTGTTAATCTGGACTTTGGGTCCGTGCAGTAAATGGTGAGCTATAAGTCACCTCTATTAAACCCATGCACAACCATTCTTGCACAGAAAGATATGCAAGCAAGAAAAGGGATATCGACAGGTCGACTATCGACGGTGTAGGTAAAAGCACGAGTGATGACTTGCTGAAACTCATCACCGTCTTAACGTCGACGGTGATTGACTCCCTAAGTAAACTTGGGTCTCCCAGGGAAGAGTCCTTGAATGAAACAGTGGTTCCCAAAAACCCTGTAGGTGGTTGGACCCACGTTAACAGGGGTAAAAAGGACCAAGCGTCACCGCCTAAGCTGAACACCCCAAGTATTGTGAGGAAGTCCATTGGCGACTTGGACGCACTGGAAAACCTGGGAAATCGATAACGGTTCGTGACGACTCTGTCATAATTATGAACCTTAATTACAACCCTGACCTTTCTCTCAGTATGCAGGACATAAACGATAGGATGCACTGGGGAGAATTGAAAAAGAAGCTTGAACTCCTTAGAATAGAGCCTTTGATGGTCACATAGCTCTCTCGAGGAAAGGACTCTAACGATCAAAACCACCCGAGGCTACTTCGTGTAACACTTAAGAATGCTTCCGACGTAGAGGACGTCCTGCTAGCGAGTCACTTACTGAAATCCGATGAGAACGTAAAAATACTGCCTGACATACCGTATTCTGAGTGAAATCTCATCCGGAACATCCCTAAAGAATCTTGCGAGGCGTTTTCCCGCGGAAGAAATATCATTGTGCAAGGTGTACCGGAAAATGTGGACCCAGCTCAAGCAAACTCCGATATTCGGGAATGGAAGTTCATTAAGCATTCCTTGAAACTTAGAAACATACTGACCCAACATGTTACGTGACTAGCCAAGAAAGGTGGAAACTCTAGACCCGACTAATTAAGATAACCTTCCCCTCCTCCAATATGGCGGCTGCAGCTTTTGAAGAATTTCGTGCCAATAGACTATGGTTGCCAACTGGCATCCATATGCATCCGGACGGGCCACACAACAGGATCAAGCACAAACGCAGGCTGGAGCTGACAATTCCGCATGTGGAGTGTCTTGACCATAAAAAAACGTGTAAAGGACAGAGACTACCAACTCGGTAAACATCGTATAGGTAGGCTACCTGTCCACTCATGTAAGGCTCATATAGACACACGGGATGAAGCTCACGCATTCCAAATTGAAAGCATAAACTGCTTATACATGAACGCCGCGAGTTTGCCAAACAAAATGGGTGAGCTACGTGAACTTAGCAACGTTAATGATACTCAACTGATAGGAATATCCGAAACTTGGAAATCGTCTCAGTTCACGGACCAGGAGTTATCGATACCTGGAATGTCTTTGTTTCGCAACGACAGGAAAATTGGCATGGGGGGCGGGGTAGCATCATACATGCGATCATGTCTGGAGGCGCACCAACTTCACAACCAAGAGTTTCTCAACTTCGATGAATCAGTATGGTGCTCAGTAAGATTGTCTACCACCTCAAGGTGTCTAGTCGGGGTCATCTACAGGAAGTCCATTGCTGACATCGAGTACGACAATCGTTCGCTTGAAGGATTAACTAGCTCAACGCGTCTCGGATTCTCTCATATCCTGATTCTAGGGGACTTCAATCTTCCTAGAATCAACGCGGAACATACCTACATTCGAGGTGACAACTCTACTAATGCTCGGTTCTTCAACTTTATTGATGATCTGGGATTATTTCAAAGTGTGAAGTCGGCAACTCGTCGGAGAAACAGCCAGATGCCGTTGCGCTTAAACTGGGTATTCACAAATGAAGAATTCTTAGTCGAAGACCTCTCAATTCTGGCTCCCCTGGGGAAAAGTGATCAAGCCGTCCTATACTTCAGTTTTGTCAGCAAAACTGGGCTAAGATATCCCACCAACAACAGACGCTTGAATTCAAATGGTTGAATGTGTTAGCCTTACTTGCCTACCTACGACAGGTGGATTGGGATGTTCACCCTCAACTTGAAGTGGATGCTCATTGGGATTCTTACTGCATACTCTCTTATGTGCTACCAAGTATTCGGTTCCTCAAATGGCCCAAAAATGCAACAGTCAACCTAGAATCATCAACAACCGCACTCTTCGTTTGCTAAGCCGCAAAAGGCACTAACGGGCCGAATACAAACGAACTGATAACAACCGCGCGTTCAGGCAATACAAACAAATAAGGAACATATGCACAGAGGCAATAAAAGAAGACAGGCTTCGGTACCAGACCAAGCTTATGGATAAATTTGTCCCCAATCTGGAAAGCTTATTCCATTACGCAGCTTCTCTTCGACAAGGCGAAACTGGGGTTTCCCAACTGCTAGGTCCTAATGGTCCGACCAATAACAACGGTGATGCCGCTAATCTTTGGGCTGAAGAATACTCTCGGACATTTCAACCAACCCACATCAACTACACTGATGAAAGCTTCACATTGCACTTATACAGAACTTTCCTAAGTGGAACTGGGCTTTCAGTACAGTGATGATTCATCACTGTACATCAACTTCATCGACTACGAGAAGGCATTTGATAGCGTGGACAGGACGACACTATGGAAGCTTCTTCGACACTACGGCGTGCCTGAGAAGATAGTCAACATCATACGGAACTCCTATGATGGACTAAACTGCCAAATCGTCCACGGAGGACAACTCACCGACTCGTTCGAGGTAAAGACCGGTGTTAGGCAAGGTTGCCTACTCTCACCCTTTCTCCTGGTGATCGACTGGATTATGAAGACGTGAACATCTGGAGGAATGCACGGGATACAGTGGACAGGCAGGATGCAGCTTGACGATTTAGACTTCGCGGATGATCTGGCTCTTCTATCACAAACGCAACAACAAATGCAGGAGAAAACGACCAGTGTAGCAGCAGCCTCAGCAGCAGTAGGTCTCAATATAAACAAAGGGAAAAGCAAGACTCTCCGATACAATACAATATGCACCAATCCAATTACACTTGACGGAGAAGCTTTGGAGGATGTGGAAATCTTTACATATCTGGGCAGCATCATTGATGAACACGGTGGATCAGATGCAGATGTGAGGGCGCGGATCGGCAAAGCAAGAGCAGCATACCTACAGCTGAAAAACATCTGGAGCTCAAAACAATTGTCAACCAACACCAAGGTTAGAATTTTCAATACAAATGTCAAGACAGTTCTTCTGTATGGGGCAGAGACGTGGAGAACTACGAAAGCCATTATCCAGAAGATACAAGTGTTTATTAACAGCTGTCTACGCAAGATACTTCGGATCCGATGGCCAGACACTATCAGCAACAAGTTAATGTGGGAGACAACAAACCAGATTCCAGCGGAGGAAGAAATCAGGAAGAAGCGCTGGAAGTGGATTGGGCACACTTTGAGGAAATCACCCAATTGTGTCACAAGACAGGCCCTCACATGGAATCCTGAAGGTCGAAGGAGAAGAGGAAGACCAAAGAACACATTACGCCGAGAAATAGAGACAGACATGAGAAGAATGAACAAGAACTGGAAAGAACTAGAAAAGAAGGCCCAGGACAGAGTGGGTTGGAGAAAGCTGGTCGGCGGCCTATGCTCCATTGGGAGTAACAGGCGAAAGTAAAAAAGTAAGTAAGTTCTTAAGTGGACTTGAGCGCTGACCTGGTGTAAACTGCAGCACATAAGAACAGACACTCCTCCTGGCCCAAATATGGTTCATTCTGCTATACTGAAGGAAACAGCTTCAATGCTGACAACACCACTTAGCGTGATGTTTTCACACCCGTTAAGCCGAGGCAAACTGCCGGAAATATGGAAGCTGGCTCACATCACACCAATTTTCAAAGGAGGTCGATGCAGTGAACCCTCAAGCTACCGATCAGTGGCCCTTCTCTCCATTCCTTCTAAAATTATGGAGTCCCCAATATAGACGGTGAACACGAATACTTATTATCCCTAAATTTCTTCTCACCTCAACAGCATGGTTTCAGTAAGGGTCACTCTTGCATGACCAGCCTGCTGACTGCGGTGGATAGATGGACAACGATCCTTGATCTCAAGGTGAAGGTTGACGTCATTTACCTTGGTTTCTCAAAAGCTTTTGACAGGGTCAACCATGTATGTCTTATCAATAAGCTTGAATGATTGGGTATCAAACCCCATCTGATTGACTGGCTCGTTTCGTATCTAGGAAACCGACGTTTTAAGGTCAGGCTCAACCTCACTCACTCTCGGGCTGTGGAATGTCCTAGTGGGGTCCCCAAGGGCTCAATACTAGGACCTCTCCTCTTCTTGATTTATATAAACGATCTTTCACAACAAGTATCGTCTGACTTATTGTTTTT